AGCAATCCCAATAGAGCGATCAAGGTAACTGAGATATTTAAGGAGTGATTTTGTCAATTTCACCTCCCTCCCTCTGCCTGTGAGTTTCAATGGCTGAGCAGGGATTCAACCCAGATCTTCTGAGTCCCAGTCTATCACTTTATCCACTGCACCACACTGAATAGCCAAATAGCAGTGACTAAATACAAAATACCGTATTTTTCGCCCCATAAGACGCACCTTTCCATAAGACGCACCAATTTTTAGGAGAAAAAAACAGGAAAATATAATCTGTTTTCTTCGCTCCATAAGACGCACAGACTTTCCACCCCCCTGTTTTGTGGGGAAAAAGTGCGTCTTATGGTGCGAAAAATACGGTAATCAAAAAAGGGCATCATTATTATAGATTTCAAAAAGTCTAAGTTTTGTCATTACAAGTAATAGAAACCTTTAAAAAAACTATATACTTTCTGAAGTCTTATAAAAGACATTTTTTGGTTTAACAAAACTGTAAAAAGCTAGAGTTCCCATATCACTCTTCACCTGAAGTCCCATTTGTGGCCTAGGGAATATTGAGCATGGGGAAGCTGGAGCCTATCTCTGATCCTTCATCTTAGGCTGCTTTGTGCCAGGGGCATTGGGATGCAGAGGAGCGGGAAAGCCAGCCAGCCAGGTTATGGGGACGGGGGCCTTTCCTAGCATACCAGTTTTCAGTCCAGTCCACCAGGAGAGGGCACATTCTTTCAGTATTGAGGTGGCCACATCTGCCTCATCATCTGGCTGCCCCATACACCAGGGTGGCAATCAGCATCCTTTAAGGGATATGTTAAGCCACACATGGTACAAAAACGAGTGGTTGTAGATGTCTTCTAATTTCATTAGTTTCCAGTGGTGGAAAATCTGTACGGATTTCAGGGCACATTATTTGTTTGTTTGTTTGTTTATTAAACTGGGATGCTGCCCATCTAGACAATGTCTACTCTGGCCAGCTCAAAACAAATAGAGTAAAAACAATTGAAATGTAACAACAACTTTGCAACAATAAACAATCATTCAAGATGGAGGATAAAAAGATAAATTAAGTGGTGCCAGGAGGGAAGGCCTGCCTAAATAGCCAGGTTTTAAGTTGGCATTTGAAAATACCTCGTGAAGGGGCCGAACGGATCTCGGAGTATTACGCACCAGGCACCTTTGCATACAGCAGGGTTGGGGTTGGGTCCTCTTGGCTTTTGAAAATACCCAGCGAAGGGGCTAAACGGATCTCGGAGTATTATGCACCAGGCACGTTTGAATACAGCAGGGTTGGGGTTGGGTCCTCACTCTGGGTTCAGAGTTTGGCTATGCAAGACAGGGATGTGTTGTGTCAGTAATATTCTGCTGTAACCAGTACAAGGTGTAACCTATTCTTATCAATCATAAATGTGATCTTTCAATTAACTTATTTAACTATTAACTGTGGAGGGGAGTGGGGAACAAGCCGAGTCCACAAAGTCTGCTGAGGCCATCTTTGTGAATACAAAATAGAATAAAGGTTTAAGGGTTACTTTTTAACGGAGCCATCTTTCAAAGGAATCTTCTTCTGATCCTGCTAAGGCTATAAAACATTGGCTAAAATCCAGTAGTAGTTTGCAACTAGAGTAGGCCCAGTGAATCAATGGGGATTTGGTGAGTTAGTTCCTTCCTAAATTCCACTGATTCAATAGGCCTACTCTAGTTTTGACGTATTACTGGATTTCAGCCATTATCTTTCACCCCAGCATGCCTTACATGATAATTTCACAGCTTTGCATGTCTCAAATAATCCTAAAGGGAAATAGCATCTTTCAATTACAGAGAGTTCCCTCCAGAAACAGTTTATCTGATTTTCAGATTATCTCTGCCCTGAGGTCAGGAACTGGCTGCAAAACAACAGTGAGGAGCCCAGGCACTCTAAAACCTGAGATATGTAGTATGACTAATAATAAATGATGGCTGGAGATCATTCTCATGTGCTACTTCTCCTTCCAGTCACAGATGAATTTGGAACTGGAGCATTTAGGCCAATTTTTCCATACAGTTACAGATTTATTAACCTGCTTCAAAGTGATGAATCAACACTTTTATAGAATATTTAAAATATGAAAATCTGAACAATCTCTGTCACATTGATTCCCATGACAAACCCCAGCCATAGTTGAAAAGATAGGTCTGATCTTTTTACAGCTGTAGTACCAGTACTTACAATGTTACACATGGAGAACAGATTCATATAGGCATATTTGCATCCAGCATGTGATAACAGCCAAAACTGTTGCTTCGTATAGTGAATAGCACTAGAGTTGGCCCTGAACTGGGATTTGGGAAATGAACTCCTCTACAAGTTACATGAATTCAAATGGACCTATTGTAACTGCAACTTACATTGTCACAGTAAGTCACAGTTAAGAGTAGGCCAATTTTAATCAATGGAACCTACAAAGTTTTACCATCTTACTAAATCCCCATTCATTCAACTGGCCTAATCTAGTGCAATTCACTATCCTAATTAACAGATTATTTACCATTATTTGGAGAAATCTGCCTACAGACGCTATAAGCACAAATTAATAGCTAAATACTTTGAAAGCCCATTCTAAATAAATAACTACACAAATATTTCCAAATCAAGAATTCACTGTGATGAGGAAACCCAAACATTGTTTTAGTCTCCACTTTTCTGAGTCCACATTACTGGTATATTTAAGATGATTCAAAATATACGTAGCCAATATTGTTATTAGAATGGAAATATTATAGTAATGCTAGAAAGTACTATAAGACCCCAGTTCATTTTGGGACGTAACTGGAAAATGCTGATTTGTACAGCACAAAAGCATTTTCTCAGGTACAGAAGTCTAAGACTGTTTAAAGATGTAAACAATCTTGGGCCACCGTACTTGAGAAATTGCCTTTGTTCTGTACGAAACAGCATAACAACTGAAATCCAATATATGTTTTGTGTAAAAGCAAAAAAAGCAAAAAGCGTGCTGCTTATATACTGCCCCATAACACTTCAAGCACTCTCTGGGCGGTTTACAAGTTAAACATTGCAAGCTACACATTGCCTCCCCTCCATGAGCTGGGTACTCATTTTACTGACCTCAGAAGGATAGAAGGCTGAGTCAACCTTGAGCCGGCTACCTGGGATTGAACCCTAGGTCGTGAGCACAGTTTTGGCTGCAGTACAGCAGTTTAACCACTGCGCCATGAGGCTTTTTTAAAAAAAACATGGCGAAACAAGACATCCAAGCAACAAAAACCAAAAATCACACAACAAAACCATATCCATCACACTGAATACTTCATTTTCAGATCTATAGTTTAAAGTTCCAGAAAATGTTGTTTTTTTCTTGTAAACAAACAAAAAAATTACAACAGCAAGTTTATATTTATCTAGTGAGAACTCCTACTGTGTTTATGGGACTTATTTCCAGGAAAGTAAGTTTATGGCTGCAAATTAATAGTATTTATTACAAAACTTATAGAATAGGATCAAGTGATGTACTAGCAACCACCAAAATATTATCTGAAAGATTACAATAAACATGTAACTAAGTCAGTTCTCTCAGTCTGAGCATAGTTCAGAAGGTTAAGTGCTCTCATTATGTTTAAGTCTTCTGCATTAATCTATAGTTTGCCAACATGATCTGTGCTGACACAAGAAAAAAGATGCTGCTATCTATACCAGAGTATGCCAGGGTTATCTATACCAGGGTTATGATCACTTTTCAACATATTTCATCCGGTCACATAACTATCACCATCTTCTGTCACACCATGTTTAATTTCAGTACAGTAATTACTTCTGTATCAAACAAAGCAGCAAATTTTGCACAGCCAACAAATGATATGAATGCACTTCTTCTTCAAGTACAAAATATTAGTTGTACATGAAGCAATTTTTTTGTGCTTGGCAGCATCTGCACAGATTTCAGTGAGGAATTAGAAGCTTAGCTTCATCCAACTCAATTAACATTTCTGTTCTAAATCCTCCAGGTTTACTCAGTCCCACTACAGGAAAATTAAACAAGAACTGGAACAAAATATACGGTAGAGAAGCACACTCTGATCAGGCAAGGATAGCCCTGTAACTGAAAGCTAACAGATTCTCACATATAAGAAGAAGAAAATTGCTCCCTGCCATACAAAGTGATCACTGGATCAGAAAGAGTGTTTCTATATTATGGATGCTTAAGGAGAAAACTGGCGGGCAGGGGGGAACAGATTCAGCAATAAGAACTGCATACCAGAAAAGCACAAACACTCTCTCTTCCCCCTTCTGTGGTTTCAATTTTGGTCAAGCTATGTTTTAACATGTCATCCATACTTTAAACTATGGTTCTATGGTAATGTTAACTCTCATTAGCAAAAACAAGCCAGTTCTGCTTCAGCTTTCACCAGTTTACAGGATGTTCCCTTTCTCTTCTACTTCCTATGTAACATCCCATCCCATTCAGAGGTTTCCCAATCCTCTGTGTACTATTTGAAGAGAGCAGATGTATAAAATACAGCTTCCATGAATTTCCACCACTGTAATACTGGATGTCAGTTTACAGCTTGATGTTCTCTTATTTTCACTAATCATAGTTCAGAGTAAGCACACTTTGTCCAGATTCAGACACATGGCAAACTGTAATTAATTTCAAAAAAGAGAAGCAAATATTTCCAAATTCATCCTTGTGGACATGTCAGAGGTAAATGGATTAAAACACCCTGAAAGGGGAAAAATAGAATGTGTTCATAATGCTGGACTATGGTTTGGCATCATCTATGGACCAGATCAAACTCCGGGAGGCAGTGGAAGAGAGGAGGGCCTGGCGTGCTCTGGTCCATGGGGTCACGAAGAGTCGTACACGACTTAACAACTAAACAACAAAAACAACAATGGACCAGACCATATTTATTTAATAGTAGTGGCTGGAACTATATTATTGCAGAGCTTTAGGGTGTTGTTTGTGAATAGCCAATCTTTGTTTGGTTATCCCTCTAAGTTTTGCACTTACCTCTTTCAACCTATCCAATTCATTTTGCAGTGCCTGCTTGGATATTTCCACCTCAATCATTTGTTGACGAAGGACTTCATTTTCATCCTCTGCTTTAACACGCTTGTCTTCCACATTTTCCAGCTCGTGGTGCAGCCTGACAGAAACGTCTTTGGCTACCTGTTTAGAAGAATATACAAATGTAACTAATAGTCTTTAATTAAGTTTTTTTTCCCTTTATTAAAGCAGAAAGTACTTTGGTTTGGGTCCAGATTTCTCCTTTCATGGAGAGAAACATGCCCTCCACTTGTGGAAAGGTTTTGATTAAACAGGGAGTTTATAGCAATGGTAAGGAAAAAAAGAGCTCTGCCCTTCCATCTCCCACGCCTCTTGAAAATCTACTTCAGAATGTTTGATAGTCCTTCAAAACAGCTTGGACAAATTACTTCCAGCAGGGAGAAGGGGCAGAAGCACAGATTGCCCCTCCTGCTTCCTCCTTGGTAGAGCATCCTGAGTGGTATTCCATTTACAACATGTTCCCTTGAGGGAGAGGAGAGCTAGATCTAACACTTAATAATGTGCTTGTGTGTTAATAACTTAATGTTATTGTGAAACATAGGCCAACATGACCAGCCCACTACTAGATGAGTGACTACTCACTCTACTGCTTACTTGGAAAAACTGGGAGGATAGAAAGTGGGATTTTCTGTGTGTCAGCCAGTTCCCTTCCTCTGGTCCATGCAAGAAGCCCCCACCACCTCGACTAGCAAGTACTTGATCCCATCAAGATGGGAGTGGAAGTAGGTTTGCAACAGCCTTCTGTAAGCTGCATGGACTCCTGTGAGTACGTGTTAGAAAGCACTTGCTGACCTTTTCTCCCCAGCCCTCAATAAGTTCTGCTTTGATGAAACATGGACTCTTTTTAAACATCACATCTTTCGTTCATCAAATGTAGTATCTCCTATAATTATTACCTATAAATAGATAAACCTAAACATCAGATAAATGAAGTAAAACATTTGGGGAACTTGTTCTTTTTTTTTCTCAATATGCAGTGCCTATGTAGCACCACAAGGCTCAACCAAGGCAGCAAAAGCAAATCACTTTCAAGACCCAGCAAGAGCTTCTACCAGGCTTGGACACCGTCTATCCCAGATTACTGCCACAGAAACTCTTTTCCTTCCAAATTCCAGACATGCCTGTGAAATTTAACAGTAATTTCACAATTTACTTTCCCAATTTGGGGACGATATATACAAGTTCCATACACATGGGGCTTGCCTTTGACAAGTATTCTGTAAACACATATAGGACTGCACTGTTGACTCAAGACATAATTATGCAGAAATGTTCCAATCACCTTTAGATCTTGCTCTAAGCTTCTAATTAGTTCCCCATCAACTTGACCTGTCTGTGCAACTTTCAAGCTTTTCTGTTCTGCTTTCCTGAGACGATATTGCAAAATGCGGCAGTTCTTGTTTGCACGGTCCAGCTCTCGTCGAAGTTCCTGAAGTTGGTAAACATCTTCTTCAAGGTAGCTGTCACGCATCTCTTCCATTTCAGCCCGGAGTTCATCAAGTTCATCCTGTCAAAAAACCAAAAATATTTTCAGATATCCTGAATTTTTCCTAAGACAGAATCACAGTAAGTTATCTTTATTCACTGTGAAGCTCATTGAAATAATTCTACTGAAATGATGTTGCAAGCAACGCCAATAGGTTGATTAAATTGTACCTTGCCTCTTCAGAAATAATGAGAATTGCCATGTTGTTATACTGTACATACTGTGTTGCTGTTGTGATTATTTCACTTGCCATAGATAATTACAAATGAGTAATTTATGAAGAATGAAGAGTGCCTGCTTTTAGAAACATTCTTTCAGCAATGAACTAAAATTAAGCTCATCATTATTATTGCTGTGCTAGCATCTCCTGATTTAGCTGGAGAGACAGTCTAGTAATTCAGATTGGGCCTGATCTGAACAATTTAGACATGATCTGGTATGATTTGGATACAAATCTGAATCAAAATTTGGAAACCTAAATCTTTACATGTCCCTGCAATGGAGAAAGGAAAATTAAAATGGTTTAATTTTTTGTTTTTCAATATATATGCATGAAATTTGGAAATATGGTAGTTCTCTCAGAGATAATTTTTCACACAAGTATATGAAGGTTGGGGGCACTGAAGCTCTTTCGGAGTCAACGATTCCTAGATAATTTCATGCAGATAGGGAATTTTTTGTCCTAGCAACCTTTAAAATTTTGCTTTAAAATGTTTGATATGTGTGATGCTTTAACTACTGCACAACGGTAGTGTGTCTGACTTACGTGTAGTACTTATGTACTAAATTTACACTGCAAAACAGAACAAATGCACTAAGCAACACAAAATAAAGTTTTTAAAATAAAACTAGATTAAACACTCCTTGTCATCATCTAGTTTTTAGTTCCAAAACTACAATAATGATGCTTTCTTAGAACTCCGGTGCTAAAGGCTTATAGTAAATCACTTGCTAAGCAGAGTAAGACTACTAGTTCTAAGAAATATACCATTCCTATTAATATAAACTGTGTAAACCTGAGTCTCAAGCTAAAACTTTTAAATGTAGGTCTTCAGGCAGAGTGACTAGGCCATTCACTTTCTGGATGGTGACTCCAGAGACTTCAACTATTCTATTTTTAACTTTTTTCTCTGTTTAAAAAGAAAACAGAAGATAGAAAGTTGCAATAAGACAATTTCTGTCTCACATTTCAGCAAAGGCTTGTATATATTCAATTCTGCAGCTTTTTAAAAAACTTCAAGGGGGAGTGATTAAAGAGCTACATAAATAACTATGTAGTGTAAACTCCTAGGTCCCCCTCCCCACTTGATAACGTTACAGTGGTGCATATCAGTGGAGTGGGAAGCTAATTTACTTTTAACAATAGTGCATATGTTATAGTGTATAATATTTTTATTTAAGCGGCTACTGATATAAAGACATAAAGGTATTCAGACTGCAGGCTAAATTACAGAATAAAAGCGAAAATACTGCCACATGAAAAATATAGAATCGCCCCAAAATTAAGAATTGTATCAATTGAACACTTAAAATGTTTTCCACCAAACAGCTGTATTATTACTACAATTTATTGTTTAGTATATACAAGCAAAGGTTCAGATGAATCAGAGCTGAGGTTTATTTCCGCAAGCAAACACACTTCCAGCTCTCTTTAAAACAAAGTGCCAGGCCAACATTATCATTAGTACCACTGAGGTGGTCAGTGTAGCTCAGGGACCCAGATTCATCCCTCCCCCCCCCACACACATCATGCCTCACCACCATACCTTGCATGTCCTTCCCCCGCCTCTTGACAGCAGCATATCCTGCTCCAAGAGAAATGGGTGAAGGCAGCAGAAGTTACAGAAGCAAACATCTAGCTCTCTATAGAGTTGGATGCCTTTACTGAAAGCCAGTTCCAAGGAAGGTCCATGGTCTATGAGACTGCAGACATTGGTATACTTATCTTTAAATATTAAATAGCAAAAGATGCAATATGGATTGAAAATATCCCCAAACCCTTGTTGCAGAAAACATATGTTCTGTACATACCATACTGCTTCATATAAACCAGGGGTCTCAAACTCAATTTACCTGGGGGCCACTGGAGGCACAGTCTGGGTGAGGCTGGGCCGCATCAGATTTTCCGCCAAGCAGAGCAAGAGCCCGAGGAAGCCGTGCAGGAGTTTCCTTAGCCCAGCTAGGGCTCCGAGGAGGAGAAGGAGGAGGGATGCGCATGAGCCCTTGTCCAGCCACGACCCCCTCCGGCTCCTCCTTCACCACCACCACCACCACCAGCAGGACAAAGAAGCGGAGAAGGGAGGGAGCACCGGCGACCGCTTAGCCAGGGGGAGGAGGGCACGACATAAAAATGCTTTTAAAAAACCCTCACAGTATTCACCTTCTCAAAGGAGAAAGTGATACATATGAAATTAAACAGAACGGGGAGCCACCCCAGAGGTGTGTGTGTGTGTGCCCACGCACACACAAACACACACATGGAGGTCCGGCAACCTTCCTCTGAGGGCCCCCCTCAAAAAAAGGCACACTCAGCAGCAGTTAACCCCACCACGACAGAGGAGCAAACTTTGCAAGGCAAGCCCAGGCAGCCTCCAGAGCCAAGGCGCTAAAGCAGGAAGAAGAGGAGGAGGAGGAAGCACTGCCGGAGGCTGAGGTGGCCACTGGCCGGGCTGGTGCTGGGGGTGCCAAGAGAGAAAGAGAGCCAGAGAGTCGCTTCCCTGGAAGAGGCGGCAGTGGCAGCTGCTGGTGATGGCTTGGAGGTGCTCTTCGAGAATGGGCCGGGAGCGACTCTTGACAGCAAAGGATGCATGGGTGCTTCAGGGGCAGGCAAGGCGGGGGCCACAAACTATCATCTGGTGGACCACAAATGGCCCCTGCACTGCATGTCTGAGACCCCTGATATAAACTGTATCCCCAATGAATAATGGAAAAAATGGCTCTCAGAACTAAGTGAGTCAGTATTTGTTTTCTAAGCTGAAATTTTCTGTTAGCCACTTGTTCTGCTGAGCGTGCAACTACAAGTAGGCTTCAGTTAATCATGAGTTATGCAGATACCTCTATGGACATGTCAGACATGAGGTTGGACATAAATCACAATAGAGCTTATAACTCTGGCTTTTACAATGAAATATAAGCCAGGTTTGGATGTCACAGTAAACAAACCATGGATTGATGAAGCAATTGGCAACATGCAACAGTACATTGCATTGCTCCCACTTCTGGCTTACTATAATTCCCAGTTACAGTCATGCCCCAGTTAACGATTGCCTCGCTTAAGGAGGAAATTGCTTTATGATGAGGTTTTTGCGATCGCAATTGCGATCGCAAAACGATTGTCTAAATGGGGGAATTTCGCTTAGCGATGATCGGTTCCCTGCTTCAGGAACCAATTTTCGCTTTACGATGATCAAAAGCAGCTGATCATTGGGTTTCAAAATGGCCGCCGGCTGAAGAAAATGGCCCCCCGCTGTGCTTAGGGACAGATTCCTCGCTGCGCAGGCATGGAAAATGGCCACCCCTATGGAGGATCTTCACTGGACGGTGAGTTTTCAGCCCATTGGAACGCATTAACCGGGTTGTAATGCGTTTCAATGGGCTTTTTTATTTCGTTCGACGATGTTTTCACTCTACAGCAATTTTGCTGGAACGAATTAACATCGGCAAGCAAGGCACCACTGTACATCCACTGTGACATCTCCATATGGAAGTTCATTGTAACTATCTCACCAAGAAAGAACACTTCTCTGTTTTCATGGAGACATATTTGAGGCACGTGTACGTTGACACGTGTATATATATTACCATGAACTTCCTCCAGGATATAAAAACAACTAGCTTGGAATTTTATCTTTACATGTCAGTAGTTTACTGAGGATATCACTACAATTTCCATTCTTTAGATGTTTTTTCTGAGGCTGCCAATTTCAGTAACGTCTGCTCTACTTGGGCAATGCTTTTAAATTATCAAGTATCTTGTATCTACAGTTTTGTCTCTGATCAGAATCCAACTACTGATTTACACTTGTGTAAGTGAAATCATGTTGGTAAATTGCTGGTAATTAACAAGGTATTGGTTCTGTTCCTGGTCATGCACACAAGAGTACAATCAGTCTCTCAGTAATAATTACCTTTGAACTGCAGAGCTGGAAAGGACCCTATGGATCATCAAGTCCAGCTCTTCTCAAGGAGGCACAGTGGAGAACTGAACTCCTAACCTCTGGCTCCCCAACCTAAGCCACTGAGCCTTGTCGATTAGCAGCAATTTGCGACTCTGGCTTAAGCTATTTGATTTACACAACTGTAAACCCCAATTCCTCTTCACAGATTCCTGCCTTGTTGTGGTGAAGGGGCTTGAGTAATGCAGGGAAGCCATGGTCTATGCCGTGCAGGGACACCCAATACGGACAGGTCATAGTGGAGAGTTCTGACTAAACGTGATCCACCTGGAGCAGGAACTGGCAAGCCCCTCCAGTATCATTGCCAAGAATATTCCATGGACCGAAACAAAAGGGTAAAAGATAGGACGCTGGAAGATGAGCCCCTCAGGTTGGAAGGCGTCCAACATGCTATTGATTAAGAGCAGAGGACAAGTACAAGTTGCTCCAGAGCTAATGAAGTGGTTGGGCCAAAGCCGAAAGGACACTCAGCTGCGGACATGCCTGGAAGTGAAAGGAAAGTCCGATGCTGCAAAGAAAAATACTGCATAGGAACCTGGAATGCAAGATTTATGAACCTTGGTAAGCTGGATGTGGTCAAACAGGAGATGGCAAGAATAAACATTGATATCCTGGCCGTCAGTGAACTAAAATGGACAGGAATGGGTGAATTCAATTCATACGATTATCATATCTACTACTGAGGGCAAGGATCCCATAGAGGAAATAGAGTAGCCCTGATAGTCAACAAAACAGTGGGAAAAGCCATACTGGGATACAATCTCAAATATGATGGAATGATTTCAATGCAAATCCAAGGCAGACCTTTCAACATCACAGTAATCCTAGTTTATGCACCAACCACCG